ATGTGGAGGGCCAGAAGTCTTCACTGTTGGACCTTCTGCTGACCTCTCACCCGGACGGCTACAGCGTATCCGTCGAAGCCCCTCTTGGCTCATCGGACCATTGCCTTGTCCGGAGCACTGTATCTTGGACGTGCATACCGCGACTACAAGAGGTACGCGGTCGCCGTGTATGGCACTATAGGTCGGCAGACTGGGATGGAATGCTGTCCTTTTTTGCATCCTACCCTTGGAGGCGGGTTTGCTTCTTGCAGGATGATCCCAATGCCGCTGCCAATTCTGTTGCTGTTGTGGTGCTGCAGGGGATGGAGCTTTTCGTCCCATCTTCTCTGGTCCCCGTCGGTGGCAGGTGTCGGCCCTGGTTTGATGCTTCTACCAGAAAGGCCTCACGCAGAAAGCGGGGGGCCTACCAAGCCTGGGTCGATGCGGCGGTGGCACGGGATGTAAATACCAGTGCACTAAAAAAGGAGTATAACTTTGCCTCCAAGTCCTACAAAAGAGCTATTGCGGGTGCCAAGTCGCAGCACATCGGTAGAATTGGTGAGAGGCTGGAGCGCCTTCCTTCAGGAACTCGTTCATTCTGGTCGCTCGCCAAAGCTATCGAGGGCAATTTCTGCAGGCCGTCATTTCCACCTCTGCACATGGGTGAGGATTCGTTGGCTCATAACGCAAGGGATAAGGCTCAACTTTTGGCAAAAATCTTTGCGTCCAACTCGACACTGGATGGCGGTGGGCACGAGCCTCCTGTTGTGCCTTGGTGCGGAAGGTATATGCCGGATGTGCGGTTCCACCAGCGCACGGTACGTTTGGCGCTTTTGTCCCTTGACGTCCATAAGTCGAGTGGGCCTGATGGGATCCCACCCATTGTTTTGAAGATGTGCGCCCCGAGTTGGCCCCAGTTTTAACACGTTTTTCGGCTCTCTTACTCCTCAGGCGTAGTTCCGACGTCCTGGAAGACAGCTTTAGTCCACCCAATCCCTAAAAAAGGTGACCGATCTAACCCGTCTAACTACAGACCGATAGCCATAACTTCCCTCTTCTCGAAAATAATGGAGTCCATTATTAACTGCCAGCTCCTGCGTTACTTAGAGGATCATCAGCTGCTCAGTGACCAGCAATACGGTTTTCGTAAAGGGCGGTCTGCTGGTGATCTTCTTGTTTACCTAACGCATCGGTGGGCACAGGCGATCGAGTCTAAGGGGGAAGCGTTGGCAGTAAGTTTAGACGTGGCGAAGGCCTTCGATCGGGTTTGGCATAGAGCGCTTCTTTCGAAGCTTCCTTCCTACGGACTTCCTGAGAAATTATGCAAATGGGTCTCCTGCTTCCTTGCAGACAGAAGCATTAAAGTCGTCGTCGACGGTGAATGCTCTGACTTGATGTCTGTAAACGCACTCCCTCAAGGCTGCGTGCTATCGCCTACATTGTTCCTCCTCCATATCAATGACATGCTGCAAATCAGCGGCATTCATTGTTATGCGGATGACAGCACAGGCGATGCCTACTACACCGGCCGCGCTAACATTTCTCGGGAAAACGTCATAGAGAGCCGAAACAGACTCGTGTCTGAAATCGAGACCTCTTTAGGGAGAATCTCTGATTGGGGTGGACTTAATTTGGTCCAGTTTAACCCCACTAAGACACAAGTCTGCGTGTTTACCGCTAAGAAACTGCCGTTGGTCGTCTCTCCTCATTTTCAAAGCACCCCCCTAACTGCCTCAGCCAGTATTGGAATACTTGGTGTCAACATTTCGAGCGACGTCCAGTTTTGCGGTCATTTAGAGGATAAGGCCAAATTAGCCTCGAGGAAGCTTGGTGTGCTCAATAGATCGAGGCAGTATTTCACCCCGGCCCACCGCCTGCTTCTATATAAGGCACAGGTGCGGCCCCACATGGAATACTGTTCTCATCTTTGGGCGGGGGCACCCCAGTACCAGCTTCTTCCTCTGGACCGCATTCAGCGGCGTGCCGTTCGGATTGTTGGATGTCCGGGTGTTTCAAACCGGCTCGACACTTTGGCAATGCGTAGAGATGTAGCTTCATTGTGCATTTTCTACCGCTTATACCACGGGGAGTGCTCTGAGGAATTGTTTGACCTGATACCTGCCGCATCTTTTCGCCATCGGCCCTCACGACAGCATATGTATCCCCATCAAATAGATGGTTGGCAGGCCACAACTGTGCGGTTCTCACGTAGCTTCCTGCCTCGCACAGCAAAACTGTGGAATGATCTGTCGTCGGCGGTATTTCCGAACCGATACGACCTTCAAACCTTCAAGAAAAGAGCGTACTCCTTTTTAAAAGGCCGGCAACGCACCTGTGACTCTTCTGGTGTTGCGGGTGTCCATGGGCGGCGCTGATCGCTTACCATCAGGTGATCCGTCTGCTCGTTTGCCTCCAATTCCATAAAAAAAAAAAAAAAAAAAAAAAAACTCAAGCTGAACAACAAACAAAATCGAGGTTGCACATGATCCCGCTCAGCGAAAACAGCTTTCTAACAAAAACAACTGCAAACTATTGGAAGCGTGGATCAGTAAACGATCCGAGAAAAAACATAAAGAAGTATTGCAAATAAATCGGTTACCTATATTAGGTTTTTTTTTTAAGGGGGGAAAATCATCGAATGACTGCTCCCGCCTGGGTGAGGTGAGGCGGAAGGGAGTGTCAGACTCTTACTGACTAAAAACCACCCCGTTCCTTCTCCTGCACGCCGAGCCGGAGCCCCGGTTACCCGTTAGGTTCTCCGCGAAAGTTATATTAGGTATAGGTTTAAAAGAACATAGAAACATCCAGCTGTTATTCAAGTTGATTTAAACTAGTCTCTACGGTCTGGACCTGGATGTCATAAAATTGCGACCAGCCACTAGAGCTATCGAGAGATGCAACCTTAAGGCGATTACCTATCCCAAACGCGCTTTGTGTGGATCTAGTTTTAAAGACGATGGCAATAAAACCATCAAGTTTAGTATTCGTCAATAACCTTATAAACAATTTCATTAATTATTTATACGATATTTTTTCAAGAAAACCTATCTAACTAGGTAGGTACGTTGTTTATTTGAAACAATGTACCTAGATGGGTATTGTAGAACAATTTCAGTCCGTGCTGTTAATTAACGGTAGAACGAGATGGAGACTGTTCCGATTTGCCTCACCGCGTCCAATCATAGTTATCTGAGAGACGGATAGACCACAGCACAAATAAATGCCTCTACAGAGTCGGGGCACACTGAGGATTTAATGAAATACCTATAGGTCCATAGCTCCATACATAGATAGGTATGGCAGGTAGGTTATACAGAACCAAAATTGAAAACTTCATTTGGGAGACGTTCGAATCGAACCACTACTAATCTTCTTTAAGAATCTAATTTAAAAAATGTTCTGATGCATTTATGTAACAATATCAATATATAATGGTAGGTAATCATTATATAATTACGTATAAGTAGATAAGTGAATATAATCTACCTCTGAGTAGGTAGGTACCTACTCTGACCTACCTCACAAGAATTTGCCGCATTGTAGCAAGCCAATTCTTAGCAAGTCGTCATCACATACCTATACTATCACACTTATAATCCAATCGATTACATTTATGTTAAGTAGAATGAACCTGAGAATATCGTTAAAAATTTAGGTAATATCATTCTTATGCAAATGATGATCAATAAATTCTTGACAAGCAGAATACACGCACATATACGCCAAAGAATGTTCCCCATCAAAAAAATTGGTCAGCAATTCAATATTCGGTAGACATAGACATTTTTTATTCGCAAAAACATTACCTACACATTACCTTACCACTGGTGCTCAAACATTGGAAGGTACCTAGTGTGAAAAACGATGCTCACCCCTCATAAACTGTGCATATGACATGATAAATTTTTTGGATGTTAAGTGTGTGAAACTCAATCGATTGGTAAAGGGTAAATACGGAGGTACCTACTAGGGTAGGTAGCATAGCAAGACCTAGCTATAGGTATCTAAGTAAAATAACAAAGTTATATAGAAACGAATTTCGCAACTATTTACTCAGGACAGTAAAACTATCACGTTCACACTATCTGCCACAGTGCCAACAAAATAGTAAAACACAACAGCTCTATATATTTCCCAAACGACGGACCTTACTTTTATTTGCTGTGATTCATATTTCCGCGCGTACACCTAAATAAAAATGACAACCATTTTAAAGGTCCAACAAAGGAACTTAGGTATGTAATATTTCAGGCCAATATCTAAAAGACCGCGTCCATCATATTTGTCATTTTATCTTATAAATAATGTAGGTCCAATTTACGTCTCGTCTCGTAAGATATAATATGTTTAAGGTATGTACACATGTAGGTATCAACGACCTACCAAAATAAGGACGCGCCACTCACCACGCGGGACATTTTTACTTAGAACATAGTGGAAATAATTAATATTACAAAATAACTAAAATATAATTAACAGATTGTATTATTTTCAGTGTATCAAAGCAAAAGTGGACCTGGGTGAGTTTGTTTGATTCTGTAGTGTGCTTTGCACTGACACGCTTTTTGAAATGAACCATAGACGAATTCGGATTCGATTTGCAAAAGCGCTTCAACGATATTGTGCATGCAATCGAGATTTAAAAAAGGACCGCGCGGGGTTAGTATGTGGCCGATGTCCCTTGTTACCCTCCAATCTCTATAGGTATCTATCTAGGATAGAGGGGTACAATAGACGAGTGCGAGCCGTGTTCAGTGTTCCAGGCCAGTGGATCTTCATCAGTCGCGGCGCCCGCCTCACTGAGAGCTCACACAAACTTTGCTTGCTGTGTAAATTAATAAAACGAGCATTTAGATCAATTAGATAAAAATAGTGTGCCTTGTGTGATAGTGACTTAGTGATAGTGGCATGATTTCAATTCATCATTTCGTTATGTGGTGTTTGATTCTAGATTGAAATAAAAAATTTAAAGCATTTTAAAAGAATAAAGTTCTACTTAAATTAAAAATGAAATAATTCAATGTAGTAAATAAATAAGTGTATTTTTGCTGTTTATAAAAGTGTGATACAGAATTTCATTAATCAATATTTTAGTCACAAGTGTGGTACAAGCAAATAGTGAGCTTTATTACATCACATAGGTTGTCGCACAGGTATCAGTCTCTCAGCTGGTAGCAGCTTCACCACACAGTCAGTGCAGTAGTCTGTGCCAGCATTGTCCGTCCACCTTGCACCCAAGAACCCAGTTTTCTGGCATCCAACACACATAGTTTTAGTTTGATAGACAGGTGCTGTTTCATCCAATATCCTTTGTTCCCTTGCAGCTTTCAATAACTCCAACATATACTTGTTACTGTTCTTAATTTCTAGAGTGGCCACACTGTCTTGGGCCTCTCCACTGTCATATGGATCCTCCATGGTGACAGGCACATGCAGCTGTGGGAAGAATGTAGACTTCTTGTAAAATATGGATTTATTCTTTTCTCTTCCTATACCTTTAGGAACTCTGCCTGGTATTGGCAATCCTGCTTTGGCTAGTTTAGCAAAATACTTTTGTATTCTGCTCATAACTTGTATAGGTGTCCGAGTGCCTAATGCCTCAGCTATTTTCTTGTACCGTCTTGCCTCTATAGGCTCCTCGGGATAGATTTCAAGTAATTCTTCCAATCTTTTCTGTTCCTCACAAGACCAAAGCTGGTTAAACGTTTCCGGTTTACTATCTGTGAACTTACGTCCTCTCACTTTGGTGCTATTATCAAGATCATCTTTATTTGGTTTAGTGTCCCTCATGTCATCTCCGTCTAAAGTAGAGTCTATGCCATAACTGCTCCAGTCGATGTTTGGTATTTCGGCAATGTTTTGTCGCGGCGGGAAGTTTACATTTCCAGATTTCATATCCTCTAGGAAAGACAATGGATCATTCAAAGCTCTGTTCTGAGCTTCAGATAACTCTTCTATATCTTTTAATGCCTTTACTTTCTGAGCTTCTAATTTTACGATAAACTTCAGTAGGTCACAATAATCTTTGTTTCCGCGAAGAGCTAGGTGGTCCGTTTCAAAGGCAAATTCCTCTTCAGAGTCCATGTTTTCTGAATCTACGTTATCCATGATGATCTGCAAGGTTAAAATAAGTAAATAAGTACCAGCTTACCAATAAAAATGAGTGTTAGTTCGAGTGTGAAACTGCCGGGAAGTCCAAAGAGGTTGAGTGTAAAAATTAAAAACAAACTGAATAGTGTACAACAGAAAAAATGCAAACCTGAATACAGAAGCACGTCGCTTGAAGGATGGTCTGGACGGTAAGTAAGTAAATTAACAATCGGTTGTAATTGTTTCTGTTTACATCACATCGATTTTATATTTACTTTCAATTAAAAAACTCCGCGATTTCGTAAAATACCATGTCCTAATACTAAATGTCAAAATAGTGACGTTCAGAATCATAATTCTATCCATAACCAAACAACCGCAGCAACGACAAAATCAGCCATTGCTAAATGTATTGTGTGATTTTTTTCTAGAGGACGTAATATGCAATGAAAAAATTAAAAGAAATTAATGACGTTTGGAAAATAAGTAATATGTAATGTTTGAAATCAATAACATACAAATTATATTTTCGTCAATGGTTTCGAACGAAACTAATGTAGTTGTATTTAACGCCCTCTAGCGACGCTTATGAAAAGTTCTAGCACCGCTGCTCTGCGTAAGTTGTACGCTATAATTAATGTAGAGGGCGTTGTTGGAGGTTTCGTCATGAGTTACTATAATTCAAATGCAGATGGCGCTTTAATACTTATGTTTCAGACACTTGCGACAGATGGAGCTGTATTGATATTTCTTTTCCATTCGTGGAGTACATTATACCTAGTTCGGAATTTATGAATGAATGTATGAAGGTAATTTCAAACTTGTTTGAACTACTTCTTCTCCGACACTGAATTATTTGTTCAAATAAAAAACTTAAATTATAATTAACTATTACTACTTAAATAAAATTAAAACTAAATATTACTAAATTAAATATATACAACTTAAGATTAATATTAATTATAAGACAAACAAAAACAACTATTTATTTATTTATTTATTGTTTGTGCTTAACCTAATAATTTACCTACTTTTTTAGTACCTAAATAGGTACATAAATATTGGCAATCAAAGATGTAAATTTAGGTAAAAAGAACCTGAAAACCTAACCAGTTCAAACCTTTATAATATAATAATTAAAGAAGTATACTTAATATTCTCTAGGTAAGTAGGTACCAACCAAGGTATCTAAATAGGAACAAAGATTGGCACTTACCTAAGTATTCACCAACTTATTATTAAATTCCGATTCACACAAGGCCCCATAGACACTCAAAGGTCAGAGGGCTAACGTAAAACTTAGTAAGTATATCGTGTCATATAAAGGTGATTTCCACTCAGATTATGAAAGGCTTTGTAGGTCAAATGTAGGCGTTTGCGGACAAAACAATCGTGTGATGAAATTTTCATAATATTAGCCATGTGTTGATTAATGAGATCTGCCTTTCAGATACCTATGGCTTGGTAGGTACCTCCATAATTGCCAACACTAACTTGTAGAAGGAAGTACCTATTTCACGAATGGTTAAGCAGGACTATGCGAAGTCGCACACCTTTAGATCATTTCTAGCCAAAAGACAGTAAGTCTAGGTATGTACCTACCTATTGTACATAGGTCTCCTGCAATAATTTCTGGATCGACTGGATAGACCAATTGGCATCCAGTAGCTCATTACGACCCTTTATTTTGACACCTTTTGGGTGGACATCTTGCGTTGCGCTTGTTGGTACGTGGTCTTCATTCAAATATATTTGCATGTAATAAGTATTACCCGAGCATAAGTCATGTTTTAATTTTGCTATCAACTTTCCATTTTAACGTTAAGATACAGTTCGTTAAGATACAGTTCTTCTTTATCGAATGGAAATCTTGATATCAATTGAAGCTTAAGAAGATAGGACCCGTCTACTTCAATTCTCACATAGCATAGAAAGATTTGCCTAAGTTATAGGTATTAATTATATTACCTGCTCTATTATTATAATTAGTTATATGCCTACCCACACTCGTTGTAATAAAATAACCCTAGGCCATCAGTACCCAACGTAATGTACCTTCCCACGTCAATATTTGGGTAATGTTTTGCGTGGGTAAATACTTACTTATTAATTAGAACAATTATGATAAAAAGGTTACCTATAGGTGGAGACTTAGTTATGAAATATGTCTACGTAGTTACCAAATATTCACTTACGCGTGTAATTCCCTAATGAGGTAGACAGAAAATATTAAAAAAATGTATGGTGCATCCTCCATCCAACGAGCCGTTCACGAACAATAAATTATTAACTAAAGCAACTCCTATAATCAAAGATCAAACAGTATTAGATGCAGATCCTGCTTTACAGAAGTCACATTAATAAGTTATAGTCTCCACAGACCAACCTAAACAAATCACTGAAAGTCTATAAAAAACTGAGTGCAGCAATAACAATTTTTACAATCAATTTCAATTTTAACAACTAAGCATTTGATGCCATAATGCAATAATCCAGTTAAGCTAGCGATAATGTTCTGTCTCCAAAGAACTGTTCGTGATCTGGACAGGTGCCAGACTAGTCTTCTGAAGTTACCAACTTAAATGGAGTCTGCCTGATCAAGTTACATCGGTACCACTTACACAATAAACTGGAACAGTTTTCATTGAAAATTATTTTGAATTGGGTTACCAGACCAGACTTACCAGATTTTAATTTTGTTTATTTTTTTTTATTTTAATAAAACGTTACCCCACACTAGGATTTTCGCCCGTGTCGTGGGAGCGTTTACAAACATAAAATTTCACATACACATCACACCCAGACCCGGAACAACGATCTGTGGATCATATAAAGAGAAGTTCCGTGCAGGAATCGAACCCGCGACACGTTGCGTGGCATCCAGTTGCCTAGCCACCGCGCCAACCGTGCAGTCATTTATTAGAGGGGCGATGTTTTATTTTTCACTCATTTCTGGAATCTTGATGGTGCGTTTACACTACATAATGTGACTAGTTGGATAGATATCTAACATCAGTAACATATTATTATGTTGCTACCTATGCTAGATAGGTGTAGGTAATATCTAGTATCTAATATCTAAATGAAAAGTTTAAAACTAAAAAGAATATAGTTTGTTCATGGTATGGTCGTCGTTGGTCACGCGATTGTAAGTTTTTTAGCTTAGTAGCACTTCATAATGAAAAATATCTTCTAAATTCTAATTTTGTAATATCAAATTAATTCCAAACTAAATACAAGATAATGACGATAAAGGACAAACACCAATCTGATTATTTATCGTAACCGAAATCAACTTAGTAGGTACCTAATAGACCTGTACGTCATAATTACCCCAAAATAATTATTTAATTATATTAATAGCATCTTCCTACACCAGTTGACCGAGATCCTCTGAGCTCATAAGTGTTATGAGATCAACCCACACGACAGTAAGGGTCGCTGTCGTATCTATAGCCTGGACATCATCTCCCCTTCTAAAAAGATGCGAGGAAGACTCTCTATAATTATAATTGGTCGCCCGTTACCCGTCAATGGGGCTAAAAATAAGTCATGTAAGGGTCACTTGGTGATCACGTGACCGGGCTCAAGCGTCTGATTTTAAATATCGAGATGTCCGTTTTAAGAATTCTAATTTAACGTGTTGTGGTTATAGATTATCATTCCTTCATGTGAGGTGAGGCCTTTACCTGACCGGGGCGTAGTTGTAGACTGTTGATGTTCATGGTTATTAACTGATGAACCAAGACTAGTAACGTAAGAAATCGTCAAAAAAGTCCTGAGCATTCAATTAGTAGACAAGTAATTATATTTAATTACTAGCTGTTTCCCGCGACTTCGTCCGCGTATAATATGATTCCTGTTTTATCCCATAGGAGCATTTAATCGGGATAAAAAGTATCAGTCAAGTCAGCTCATATCCTGCCTGTATAATTTTCTTCAAAATCCGTTTAGTAGTTTCAGCGTGATTGACAAACAAATATCCAAACGAAGAAACTTTCATATTTATAATAGTATAGGTAGTGTGATAGTGTGATTTTAAGTAGATACCTATATCTCTTTAATATTTTCACTTGATCGAGGAAAAATGAACATACAATTTGAAAACATAAACCCTCAGATGTATGACGGTATTTCATAGATCCAAGTTCTGGAAAAGTATCGCAAAACGAAAACCACCGAAATTCAGTACCTAGAACATCGGTCGGTATTTCATTCATCTCGCCGCGAAACCGTAGGAAAGATTTTAAATAAACAAAGCGATGAATTTCAAAGTATTCGCGGTGGTTGAACAACGAAATTGATATGAAAACATAATATTTTCTTTGTTATTCTGTGAAGGGGTAGACAGAAGGGTATAATGAATACACCCACTGTTCTTGTATTGGTCTTATAAAAAACTTTTTGCCAAAAATTCACTATACAGGGAACTTGAGAAACCCAATGTTGGACCTACCCTTTTAAGAAAAAAAAAAATATGGCACCTACTTTGCATTAGTCCAGTTCGAGATACGAACTGACTGTCATATCAGGTAGGTAGGTGTAAGTACAAGAGGTGAATTAGAACACAGTTTTTTTAGTTAAGTTCAAACAGTTAGGTCTGTTACCGCGTAATATGAACATTGTAACTGTCATATTCATACCCACTCTACTCATCAAAAGCCTATAAGTGCTGCCACTGCTGACCAAACGCCTCTTTTCGCAGGGAGAAGGTTTGAGCATTAATCACTACGCTTGCTCAATGCGGGTAGGCGATTTCAAACTTATAATTAACTAGCTTTTTTACCCGCGGCTACGCTCGCGCACAAAAGGATAAAAGTAGCCTATGTGACATATACCAATACACACAGCGCCATCTATACCAATTCTTTTGTTTTTCCTCGGGAATATCAATTTTTTCCGGGTTAAAAAATACCCTATTATTTAATCCGGACTTCTAACTTTACGTCTGCAAAAATTCAAAGCAATCGGTTTAGAAGTTATAGCGTGAAAGCGGAACAAACAAACAAACAAACTCACTTTCCGATTTATAATATTAGTAAGGATAATTATGAGCTCACGTTTCCTCACGATGTTTTCCTTTACCGTTTTTCAGTGGTGTCTAAATAATCTTAAGTCATATCGGTACTTGCCGTTAGGTTTCAAACTCGCACTCTCATAAACCTCCGGGTCACCACAACATCGACACCTACTCTACTATCACACTTAAGTAACTTCTTAAAAAGTAATTCAAAAATACATATTTTGACAAAAGCATCAAGAAGAATAGGTAATTAATTATAATAAGTTGCACTTTACTTGTCTACTTAATAGGCATAAATTATATTTGCACAATTTTAAAAATTATTCAATTAACTAAATCATACAGAAAGATCGTGCCTGCACCACTTTGGATCGACTTACTCGCCTTGGTAATTTTATATGTAATTTTATGAAGTTTCTTACACACACATAAGTGAACAGTTTTCTATAAATATTTGCTTCATGTTCCCGAAGCCGCCAGTTAGTAGAAGACCCACGCACGTTAATTACTCAACAAACGTTTGCTTGCACGAGAGAAATGTTGCGTGTCGAGTTGTAACTCCGACGTAACTGGTTTAGTCTAGAAATTAAGGCATTTGAATAATCTTCAAAGAACCCTTAGGTACTCATTTTCAGTACGGATAGAATGCGGAGTCGCTGAGAACCTAACGGGTTACCGGGGCTCCTGTTCGAAGTGCAGGAGTAGGAACGGGATAGTTTTTAGTCAGTAAGAGTCTTACACTCCCTTTCATTCGATGATTTTCCCCCCTTAAAAAAGGTACTCATTTGTTTTTTGCGATATCACTCATAGCGTACCGACCTTCATTTCAATGACACGCATCTTAATGTTTTAAAGGTGGCATTAATGATCCTTGTTAATTATTATAGTCATATCTTTAAAGCCCCAATTTCAAATGCAACCAGCAACATATATCGCAGCACGTTATTAATGTACTTGTTTAGCACATATTGTTGTTGCCTAATCGATTTACTGCCGGCATTCCATTGGGCCACTCTACTAATTGCGCCCGAGCATCATATTAGCGTGTTACATCTAGATGGCAGCAGTTAGAGATGAAAGCTTAAAAGGCAAATGCGTATGGCACTGGCCTTCTGTTAATCTTGATTTGGTTGAGTTTTATGGAGATTTTAGGATAAATATACTAAGTATAGATCTAATCTATTATTGAAGGAAGATATTTTATTGTTTTTATTTTCTCCTAAGCTAGGTAATAGGAGTTTACTGACGTCTTATTACGAGTTTGTGTTTGAATACTTTCAAACGTAAAATAAGTAAATTCGTACTGAGGCCTCTGGTCTGGTATGGCCTTTAATTGACTTGATATTCTGACTTGATTTGATTGATAACTGATGAGTAACCAACTGATAAACATATAAAATAACAATACAACAAAATATACCTATGCAAATATGTTTCATATTACGATATGTCCTATTTATTATGCATGTGTTTTGTTCTTTATGTTGTGTCAAAGCAAAATTCCATTACTCGTTCTTTTTGCGGGAAAAGGATTTTGATTATATGTCGAGTGTATTTGTGGGCAACAACATATATCAATCTGAAATTATGCCGTCGAGCAGGAAATGGAAATCAAAGTGTTGCCGGCAGCCGACATCTCGCCACATATTTACTGTTCGTATTACATTATTTACAAGAGTAACATATATTTTGTACTTTTTATTTACACATAACATCACGCCTTTTATCCTCGAAGGGGTAGGTAAAAGTGCACATTATGCCACTGTACAATGTAACACCCACTTTTCACTATTTATGTTATGAGTCCCATGTAATAGGGGGTGAGCTTATTGCCATATACCTGGCACAATTCCAAACTCCGTGCTACTACTAAGAATTTTTAAAAACGCAGTAGTATTTTACCCGACCCGGGTATCGAACCCGAGAACCCTTGCCCGGCAGTCGCACTTGCGACCACTCGGACAACGAGGCAGTCACTTTCTATTTACTTTTAGGGAATTTTTTTACAAGTCAGCTTCAGTTAAACATTTTCAAGACATGTTGATTACATGACGAAGTTATACTCGCTTTAAATATAAGATTGACTTATTCAGTGATTGACTACTAAAAAGAACAATTAACCGATTTCGGAAAAACAAACCTGGTGCGATTCCTGCACGGAGCAACTCTTTGTGTCATCCACAAATTGCTGTTTCGGGTGTCATGTGAATGTGAAATTGTATGTTTGTAAACGCACCCACGACAGAGGAGAAAATCCTAGTGTTTTTTTTTTAAGGGGCGAAAATTATCGAATGGCTGCTCCCTGTTCCTTCTCCTGCACGTCGAGCCGGAGCCCTGGTAACCCGTTAGGTTCTCCGCGACTCCGAATCGGCATCGGCCCTGTAGGCCCAGCGTAGGACAACGTTTTTATAAAAAAAAAAAAACAAAAGAACCTTGCAAGAATTATTATCACTCGAGTATCTTTTACATACATAATATGTTAACACGACCGACCGACGACGATCAGCTTCTGCACTATATCTATGGCGGTATCGATATTACATTGTAATGTGAAGCCGTATAATATAGCTTATTGGATTTTGAAATCGCGAGACCTAGCTAGCTAGGATTTGCGCATAGCACTATTCGTAATGGTGCATTCAAGTGGAACAACTTATGTGATCTTCGTAACTGACGCTTAGATCTGTAGGGTATTGGAAGCTGGTTTGAAACTATTTAAGATTGAGATTAGTCTTGAAATGCTTCAGTCTTATTTTTGTCTCCTGATCGTTGCCTAACTTTCGTGGTTTTGGTCTTTGTATATTAGTAACAGCATTTAACCAACTTCAAAAAAGTAAGTTCTCAGTTTGACCTGTATGTATGTATGGTTTTATTTATGTTAAACTGATTTTAATGCGTATTTCAGAAAAATATTTGTCACACTTAGGAAAAGTGTGTGTGTGTGTGTGTTTTAGTACATACATCAGTTAACCGACTCCAAAAAAGAGGAGGTTGAATTTGGTTTCTTTAAACGTAGTTTATCTAAAATAATTATTTATATTTAGTGCACTGCCCTCTATCCTCTGATCAGCGAAGGTTAGCAGACCTGACTTGCTGGATTTGACCGACGATACACACGTAAATAATTATTAGGTACTTGAATCCGACATTCATATTATGTCTGACTTTGCTGAGCTACTATAACCTCCTTGCGTGGATGTTAAAGCCTTGTAAATAGGACGATTCTCCACTTTGATTTCTTCTTTTTGCTACAAAAATAAGGTTGTTTTTAATAAAGTTTTTTGACCTTATATAAAATTTCTTAAAATTAACAAAATTCCGGGTGTTTTCTTACATTTTCGGCTTATGAAAGCATTTATTAGGGTTCCTTTTTGGACCATAGACAACCTTTTTGAAATATGAAGCGAATATTTTAGAGGTATCTGTGGTATTCCTACTGAATCCTAAATATGTAGGTATATTAAGTGGAAAGGTATTTATTACCTGCCTAATTATTTAGATTCTAGACCCAAATTTTTGGATAGGGTTCGTTTCTTATTGTGAAACCTACCTACGACAGATATTGTGACCTATAATGTTTCATCTTTGCAAGAGAGATAGTAGACTTTATAGGCTATTAGCTAGTAGCGATAACTCTGTTTTTTCAGAATTCTATTAAGTTTTAAAAACATCAAAGCAGTTATGAAATACGTATTTGTACCTTAATTCTTTATCAAGACCAAACCAACAACCCCGTAATGTAGCCGCCAGTTTGACATACATACATACACACACACACACCTTTTTCTATTACATCACGATCCTGATGCCCAGATGTATATGAAAATGCTGAAATCTTTTCGGATCGACTTATTCTGTCCCGGAAATGTGCCCTCAAGAATGCCATGTTTAGCTCCGTGGAGGGAGACGAAATCACGAAATAGTTTCACTTTCCTGTGGTTTAAGGGTGTAACTGCGTAGTACGTGTCTAACTAACCATATATAAAATTATATTCGACTCTGGGAAATGTAGCGTTTCCCCAATAATGTCATCTTCGGATCTATTCGAAAGAGAAATCTTTTGAACGTTTTTACAAGTACGAAAAAGGTGTTTTTATATGTACTATATGTGGTCCGTAAATAGAACTGGAATAATTATGAAAACGTACCTATGTCGTCACAACTTTCTGCTTATGTGTATAGTGAAAATAATTCTTGAACAAAACGCACACAATGACACACCGTTGAACTCACGATCTCTCGCTTAGCAGTTGTACTTGCGACCAATGAAACAAAATACTGAAACATACATTTTGCTGAGAACTTACCATTTCGCTAATACTTACTTTAATTATTCCCTTTGAAAATTGAATACTTAATAATTTAAATCTGTCAGCTTGAACTAACTACAATTTAATCCGAGCGCATTTTCCCCATAATCGGATCCTGTTCTTCGGATTATACTTTAATTACTAGACTGCTTATATACTTATATATAAGTATCTATTTTACAGACAACTAGCATTTGGCCACGGTTTCATCGCGTAAAGAGTAGCTTCTTATGATTAGATAGTATCTAACCACTCTCCTACTGAGTCCTACTGCAAACAGTTTCACTGATTAAACTAGGCATCCGGAAATTGCGGTCATACAAAAAATACCAAGTAGTGACGTAACTACAGGAATTGTTTATTGATATAATGACGTCACGCGATGGATGGCCCCCGATTTTGGCGAGAGCCCCGTGCATAAAACGTTCGTTGACTCGACCCGGCGACCGAGTGCCAGTGTCAACATCTGCAGCGAATAGTTCTACTTTTAAACTTATTATTTGTGTAGGTACTATGTTACTTAAAACCTGCGAACATATAATATGTGTGTTCAATTATTATCATGCGCGACGTTTGATCATGATGGTATTGAATCCAAAATGTTCTGCCTTTTTTTAAAGGGGGAAATCATCGAATGTCTTCTCCCGCCTGGGTGAGGCGGGAGGGAGTGTCAGACTCTTACTAACTAAAAACCACCCCGTTCCTTCTCCTGCACGTCGAGCCGGAGCCCCGGTTACCCGTTAGGTTCTCCACGACACCGAATCGGCATCGGCCCTATTGGGCCCCATCTGTGGTGGTCTGATGGCTCTTTGAGGCGCGCGCGGAACGCGACGCGCCGTACGCTCGGGTCTGTTTCTGGTCGGACGGGGAGCCACCCATGCTCGCCGTCCGCAGGCCCGCGCTTACGGTAGCCGGAGATCGTCCCGCGATATGCTTCAGCTTGACGCCTCTGCGTCAACCGTGCAGATTCAGGATGTCCAGTTAAGTCTATCGTTAAGCAAAAGGTCATCCTATAAATGTATAGAAACTTAAAATACACTAGTTTAAAGTGGCCTTACAATAAGAACACCACTATCTGCTCCTTCGGGAAGTTATTGGACATGACGTTAGTAATTGCGGCTCTAGATACCGCTGGGTAATCTGCAGCTAACAATGTTTTCATAACAAGTCCACAGGTGTTCCATTTATCCCTATAACGGGCTGTTAGTTGTGTGCTACGACACCCTGGGGAGACGACGCGATTCTAATCGTAATAGGATCCTATGACCTCCAGTTAAGCGTTGTGTGCTGCATAGGATGTATTGTGCCTTGTGTTAAATAAATGTCTTACTGTTAACCAATATATGTGTGTTAAACCAGGGTCTAGCTAGCTTCGATCTTAAGAGGTAAAGTTTAAGGTTCTAAATGTTTCAGTAAAATTCTTTGGCTTTTTCGATGGGAGTATAAGCTATTTACATTCTTCAAGATAATGTGATAGATATACATTTCTTTGGAACTATATTTAAACTTAACTAAATGGAACTGACCTTGTAAGTCAGAACCCCCAAACACTCAGCTATATTTACATTACAGGATAGTACCTACCTATAAATAACATAATATAAAACAACCAAAAAGCTCAGCGTCTCCTCAAACAGTCTCATTAGTTAGACCTTGGGATCCTTCTTAAGCCATCACAAATCTGTCAGCCGCAGAACTGCTCCTATTTTCTTCCTTTATATAACATTTGAAGGCACGTGTTTTTGTTCTTATCAACACTCGTCTTTGCACACGACTTTTCTGGAGAAGTGTATACATACATACATACAAATTATTGTTGTATAAGTCAAGACTAATACCATCTTCAGTTGGCATTTAAAAAATATTATTAGTTTTTGTATCAAATAAATATGGCTGTATGAAATATCACTTTATATACGCATATTTTTTCCCATTCCTCTAGAAATATCGAGCATTCAGAAAAAGTTCTCAAGGAATCTAAATGCTAGCATTCTTTAACTACTTTATCAACCTGTATATTAGTTTAAGGTGATTTTTTTATACGTTAGGTATAATATTTTTTATAACGTCACGCCTGCTTTTTAGCACCCATATTATTTCGACAAAACGCAGGCCCAAAAGGAGATAGCGGGAATTTATATAAACTGGACACCTATGACAAGGATTGGCCGCAAAAAGCTTTACATAGAGAGGAGTGGAAGGAGTGAAGGAAGGCTTTTGACTGAAAATACTGACTTTGATCATGACTGAAAATAAATAAATAAAAATTATTTCGAATATATAAACCTTTACACGTGTAATACAAAACAAAAAGCTATTATTGTAAGTTACAAGTACCACAAGTATAGGAAACAGTTACCACTGCTAGTTCTTTTCGAATTGTACACAGACGCTCAATGGAGTTCCAAGCACGTTTTTAATTTCAAACGGCTCAAACTTCACAATTACTAAGGTACTTGGTATACACACCAGCACCTAAAGCTAACCCAAACTAAAAATTCCTTCAATAGAATTTCAGCTCTACTGTTTTGTGTAATATGGTTGGGAATTCTTTAAAGCAATTTGTCGGTTTTTTATACCTTGATGTGCTGTTTCTCTACATCTGTCTGTCTAGAAAGGTGTTTTACATATTTCATGAGCTTCTGTTAAATTGATGTTTACCACGTTATTTTTGTTTCTGAAGAAATGTGACCTAATTAATATTCATTTCGGATTTGGCTTTTTTTGAGGGGGAGAAATCATCGAATGAGTTCTCCCGCCTGGGTGAGGCAGGAGGGAGTGTCAGGCTCTTACTGACTAAAAACCACCCCGTTCTTACTCCTGCCCTTCGAGCCGAAACCCCGGCAACCGGTTAAGTCCTCCGTGGCACCTTTGGTTTTTGCTAGGTTTATTTAGTTGTACTTTTTTTTACTTGACTGCCTCGTTGGCCGAGCGAGTCGCAAGTGCGACTGCCGGGCAAGGGGTCTCGGGTTCGATTCCCGGGTCGGGCAAAGTATTACTGGGTTTTAAAAAAAATCTCAGTAGTAGCACGGAGTCTGGAATTGTGCCCGGTATATGGCAATAGGCTCACCCCCTATTACATGGGACTCATAACATAAATAGTGAAAAGTGGGTGTTACATTGTACAGTGGTATAATGTGCACCTCTGCTTACCCCTTCGAGGATAAAAGGCGTGATGTTATGTTATGTTATGTTATTTAGTTGTACGTCTTACGTTGAGTAAGACAGATAGTCTTGGAAGTAATGCACAACAAACAATTTATTGTGAAAACACAAGCAATTTATGATCATATTGAATAGTTGATTACATTTCTTATGAGACCAACTTGAAAAGCATTTCATAGCATGCGAGTATGTGATTTATTTTTGTTTTCAGTGTTTAAAAATTGATCACATTCCTACGTAGGTTCATTGACCCCTTACAAATATGATCGTACCTTTCTCACAGACGTTATTGTCTCGTATCCTATAACAGTGTAGCTAAATACAATCGAGTTACAAGGGTCATGGGAGCTTTTTTTAGATAGGTGTCTTGTAAATCATTATGTCGTCGATCGTCATATCAGAATACCCAAGGGATCGGCAGAAGTGCCTATTACAGGTACTAGAGGTATTTTCAATTATTTATAAAAGGAACGAGCACATTGTTACTCAACTTCTTCTTCTTTCTCTTGGCCTTTTTCCTAAACTGGGATCGTTCCTCAATTTTACCCTATACCACTAATTAATGATCATCCAAGAAAGCTTTCTATATATACACCTATAATTACTCAGATTATTCCATAAACAAACATGTAACCCATCCTACACGTAGATAGAATTGCCCAGAATAAGTACTAGGAGACCATACTTAAACATCACAAAGAATATTTGTCGGTTATCACATCAAATTACAAAAGATACATGATACACAAAACCTTTGAAATTCTCCGAATAAACCTCTGTTTATTGTATACCTCTCTTTATACGAAGTATTCACTATCGTAAGTAATTACGGACGAGATTAAATTTTACGCGTTTGATGACGGCACTTATGAAACCCGTCATGATATATGGCAGCAAAACTTTACGCAAGTTTGGGTGACAACGGCGCGTCAAAGTCGAGGGTGCGCTATATTATATCGCAAGTAGTCGCGAGTTGCGAGCACACGGCAGGCCGTGAAAGGCGGTCCGAAGTTGGTCGCGTAGACTCCGCTACGGGCCGTAGTACAGCGCTGAGCGCTCGCTCAGTCGGCGAGAAGCGGTCCACGCGACACGTCACCGCCCTCAGCGGCCGCTCGCACCTCGCTCGGCGGGAAACTTCTAAAAACAATCCGATTACTTTGCAATCCCAGAACCGATTCCATCACCGCCGTCGCGGTTATTAAAAAGTTTACCCCAAGTTTTGATGCTTTTTGACTTGCTACCGATAAAACTGGGCCTACCTCGCGTGATGTAACTTCTGCGACTTTGCCCTATTTACTAATACGATTGTTTCTCCGTGTAAGCCATACTTATCGCCCACCCTCCGACACATGGTAAACTCCGTGATTAACTCTGTTCGTGAAGTGTCACATCACTAACTCTCACGACCCCGGCAAAGTTTAATTGTTCGAGTGAATATTTAATTTGCAGTGTTCTCGGTGGCTCCGTCCGTTATAAGATCAAAAAGAAACTTTACACGCTAAATTAAATAAAAATTTGAAAAGTTTGTGTTGAATATTGTATTAGACAGCATACAGTAAAACTTTGAGTGAATAATTGGCGAGATGCAATTTTAATGCACAAAGAAATTGCACTTACGTTGGCATACAATTGAACGAGTCACATTCGTGTGGATCTTGAACTGCGCCATAACTCATAGTTACAGCTGAGCTATAAAAACATCGTAAGGTATCGAGGTTAGTTGTAAGACCGAGGAGGTTTTATGTGTTAAGTGTTGAGGAGGGTTAAGGCTGGGCGGGGTAGTAGACACGGATGGTGTGCGATGGTGGCGCCATGTTGTGCCTGGAGTCGCTGATGGCGCGGTGGCGCGAGCGCAGCGCCAGGGAGGGGGAGAGGCGCGCGCGCTCGCGCAGCCTCTGCTCCTCGGGGGCGGATGGCAGCCTGCTGCAGCTACTGCATAGAAGAGCCAGCAGCGCTATGTAAGTCACTAGATTTTACGTTCTGTACATGTTTGGGCTTTACATCTGAACGCGTTCTTACAATCAGCATTTATCATGTTTTTGAAGCCGTTCAAAAGTATTTCCAACAGAATCTTTCTAAACTTTTAGGAGATCAATTCATGTATCTTCTAAAACACCAATCTAAATTGGTATTGAAATATTAGATCACGTTTTCTTGAATAAGTGTGTGGGCAATTGAAGCGACGATATCTATTTGTAGAATTACCTATATAAATTTCTAAGTATCTTAGGTCAGACTTTATCAGGCTATACCTATATATTGTCACACGTTTCAAATAATCTATCCATTTTAGACAGAGAAGCCCTCTTTGTCCAACTAAATTAAAAAGTCAGACACTTTTTAACACATCACACCTAGGCATTCATTTCTTGTATTGGATCTACCGACAGTTTAATTGATATTTTAATAATAGGCGCAACTGTATAATGTTCATTTGTTTCCATTAAACAACTAATAGGTATTGTGGTGTTATTTATTACAGCTAGTAGATAGTGCAATTTTCCTGTTGACAATGATAAACTATAGGCTATATAGGTAACTATAATTGCTTTATTATGTTTTTTATGTTATGATAGGATATTATTATCCTAATTACATCCTATATACATCTAATTATTTTATATTTATACTTCGATGGAGCACGGTTTCCAGTACTTCAACGAAGATTATTGATAAAACTATGTAGATTATAAAATAAAATTAAACTTAACGAATGAGTTCACCATTATCTTTGGCCGTAACTACTTTCTAGATACACCATCGTTACCAAATAATCCCTGTACGCATAAAAAAATAAAAGCAATGAAATGCTTAGCATTAAACATTTCAACAAAAATATTCACTTGTCCAACAATATCTGATTAAATTACCCCTTTTATCGTCAGACATCCTGATTCAATATGCTCCAACATTTCCTACTCCCCTGGTAATGGTGACCACTGACCCCATCGCGTGACGTCACTGGAGGAAAACGTATGACCAAATAAATCACGAGCAATTAATCTTGAACACATTCAGATTATGAATGTGTGCCATTTTCTCTGAATAGGTGCAAATAAAACTCACTTTAGGAACGTACGCTATTATAAGGTAGTGTTTGGGATAGTGTACGGTGTAATGTTGAAGGGAACAATTGGTCACGTTAAATAGACATGCTTAGATAAAGAATTCTACAATAATTGACTTCGATAATTTTTAAGCGCTAGAGTACGACTAGGTGTATTGTATTGTATATTTAGTATTTTCGTTACGATTAATATCTTGTAAACAACAAAGTCTATTATACAACATTATCACATAAAGGAATCAGATTAATTTGGTCACAATCTTAAATCGAATGATGGAAATGGAAAAACATCATGAAAGAGGTTGACGTCCTTTTAACGCAATGACAACTCTATCCTATTCAAGCCATTATAGGAATTATAAGAAAAAACGAAAAACAGAGTAATCCAGTTCGTGGACGGAAAGTGTATTACAAGATTTTCAGTAGGTACATAGGTAGGTAGTGTGTAGAACCAGTATAAGCTGACTGTTGAATGTGTAAAAAGATCATACAAAGTGAGACCTTGATAAATTGGTTTTGTATAGTTTGATCAGTAGCCGTGTGTACATTTGTCCCTTGAGCGTCCTTGGGAGGCGTTAGAATGGGATCATCAATGCTATTGTGAACCTTAATGGTTATGTCTTCCTGTTACTTTATAGCTTATGGCTAGGTGCCATTCAATAACAATAAGTATTGATAAAGCAATTGCTCAGGCTCGGGATTTTTCCTTAGGTTAAAGAACTTCGTCGATTACAATTACAGAATCGTTAGTTATTTTGCTGGTTGTGGTAAGTATGATTATTGAATTAGAATTGTTTGCTTTTATAGTTTGGGTAAATTTTAATTTGGTTTTTCGGCTCGAGAGTTTTCAATCTTAAAACGGAGTCTGGAATTATACATAGTCATCACGTATTCGTTCCTAATTTATCATTTAAACTGACTAAATACTTTCAGCCTGACTGCCTCGTTGGCCGAGTGATCTCGAGGGTAAGGGGTCTCGGGTTCGATTCCCGGGTCGGGCAAAGTATTATTGGGTTTTTAAAAAATTCTCAGTACTAGCACGGAGTCTGGAACTGTGCCGGGTATATGGCAATAGGCTCACCCCCTATTACATGGGCCTCATAACATAAATTGAAAAGTGGGTGTTACATTGTACAGTGGTATAATATGCACCTCTGCCTACCCCTTCGAGGATAAAAGGCGTGGTGTTATATAAATACTTTCAGCTAACGGGTGTTGAGGCATAGAAATGTTTACAAATAAGTTATTTTCAACGAAAATAACCCTATCATTCCTAATAAAAAATAAAAACATTTTAGTAACTTATCTACTCATCAGCGAATAATAATAGCTTTCAAAATGTTGGAATGTGCTGTCTAGAGCTGTAATTAACGGCTCACCCTGCTAAATATAGCCTCCGAGTCCAAATAATTTGTAACTATAAATCTTTGTAAACTATACCGCCTTTTACTTTTCAACGAATTAGTTACTTTTTTTTCACTGTTTTTCTTTGCGCTATTTTTAGCGTAAAGTTTTTCAATTTACATATTCTTAGGTGTTACACGAAGTTTGGATATTGTTAAGCGTGTGGTTGTAACAAGAATTGCCTAAAGGTGGGTGTAGTTACACAAAGTTATAGCCTACAATACATAAACATATACTATGTGCAAGTATGAGTGTACAACGTAGTAATTGTTAAGCTTCAATGGTCTATTCTAAACAAAATACTTTAGCAGTATATATAGATTTTCTTAAGGTTATTTTACATCGTCTTTTATGATTTGCCCTCTTTTGCAAATACTACACACTACATTATGAATAAAACAATTATTTATACTATCGTATTTTCATTTGACTATTCTAATCAAAATACTTTAGCAGAGTAAGTTAGATTTTTACTAAGGTACATCGTCTTTTATAACTTTGGATCTTTTGCAATAAGGATTGAGAAGCTAAGTATATAGTTATGTCGCGGAGAACCTAACGGGTTACCGGGGCACCGGCTCGACGTGCAGGAGTAGGAACGGGGTGGTTTTTAGTCAGTAAGACTCTGACACTCCCTCCCGCCTCACCCAGGCGGGAGAAGTCATTCGATGATTTTCCCCACTTAAAAAAAAAGTATATAGTTATCTACTACTATCGATACTTTTCCGCCTTTTTTGCTTTTCTTGTTCTGTTTCTGTTTCTTATTACTGCAAGAATAAAAACCTTTTCGAAATAGTTATACAGAACTACTTGATTTCAAATCCATCGGTGTCTCTGCATTCTCTACAAAAAGTCTTAAAATAGAATATTCAGCCCTACAACCAAAACAAATTGCCGTACACAAAACAACAACAAAACGGGAAGCAAACAATTCTCGTTGATTGGGGGAGAGAAATAATATCTGAACATATATAATTTGCTTATCTTTAACAATTTGTGACTGCGTGGGGCCAACTAAGGGAAATAGGTTACTGGGGTGCCGACTGCCGCCTGCTGGGACAGCTTGGTTGCTTCACTGCACTTAGTATCGGCTACTTTGGCACTGCTTCGCCCTTAGCACAAGTCTAGAGTACATAATAACTACAGTACATACTGCTCGTTGGCCGAGTGGTCGCAATTGCGACTACTGTGCAAGGGGTCTCGGCCCGGGTCGGGTAAAGTATTACTGGGTTTTAAAAAAAATCTCAGTAGTAGCACGGAGTCTGGAACTGTGCCCGGTATATTGCAATAGGCTCACCCTATTACATGGGACTCATAACATAAATAGTGAACAGTGGGTGTTACCATTGTACAGTCGTATAATGTACACCTCTGCCTACCCCTTCGAGGATTAAAGGCGTGATGTTATGTTTTACATACTGCATCTCTGTCCAGTTTTATTTTGAGGAGTCGTATTTGGGAGTTTATTTTTGTAGCTGTGCGAGAATTTTGGTGCAAACAACTGTTCGTCGGGAATGTTGCTAGTATTACGGTGGACAAGTTCTGTATGCAAACGGGTGGGACGTGGAACAAACTGTCGCATGCAGCGAGTGCTGGTGATTTTGTTAAAATTGAAATAGAAATATTTTTATTAGAAAAGTTTTGTGTAACAGTGGAAAATTAATTCGATGCCTGAATAGATACCTAGATATAATTTGGTTTATGATGGTGTATTTGTATGAATTAATGGTACCTACTTAACAACACTATAGTTATCCTACGATCACGGAATAAAAAACATGCGATTAATCAGGTTAAAACTAGTTTCATTCATAAACGTCTCGCGCTTTATTCTCTGCGGGGTCCACAAGTGTACACGTAGCAATAGTTTTTGGCAGTCATTTCGAATTACTAAAATATTTTTGATGTCGTTTAAATGGGACTAATGACACTAATTGCGCCATTAGTCATATGGTCATAGATGTGGCTGCTCTGCAGAGAATGTCAAGTACATATTTGTAAAATTACATATTTTTAGAATACGTTTATTTAAATCAATATAATAAAATAAGTTCACTCCTTCCTAAAACCTTTTTACTCATAGACGTGGTGTAGTTAAGTACACCTTTACCTTTCATTAACAGGTGTAATATCACATAAACAAAATCTGACATAAATAAATAAATAACTTATTTTTGTCAGGAAGTGGATACCCACCCATAAAAAGTAATAAATAAAAGTTATTTGTTTATAATTTACACGTCGTTAGGAGGCCATTAATATTATTTAAAACTTGCTGAGCATAGGTGATGTGTTTACGTTGTGGTTGTTTACAAAAATATGTTTATCCGACCGTTAGGGTGCGCTGCAGGTCAAAACAAGTTTATACGATTATTCCTGTCACATAACTCATAAAGTTTTTCATTTTAATACGAAAACAAATGTATTATACCTCTATTTATAATTCTTAAATCTACAAACAGTGTGCGGCTGTGTATTATAGATTAGGTAAAAATCAATGAAATGATTTGTATTTCTATCTCGTCGGATTAGTGATTTGAAATGTGACTGCTGAACCAGAAGTATCTAGTTCAATTTCCGGACCGAGCACAGTATTACAAGGTATTTTGGGATATTACTTGTATGAATATTTTCTGTTAGTGTCGTTTCTTTGAAAAACTGAAGAACTCAAATAATGCTCCACTCGACACCGAGATCCTTTGCTCGCTAATGACTTTTAAAAACTACACGACCAATAATGAAGTCTATTCAAAACGTTACACCAAATTCCGTAAATATTTTAAATAAACAAAAATCGTTTTAAATCCAACATAATCAGAAAATAAAAGTAAATAAAATAACACGCGAAACTATTCCTATGGGGAAAAGAAACAACATAATATTATTGATATCTGTGTGGCCCAGTTTATGGCTTCAAATTGGGTCATCTTGACAAAGAGATGGTCAATGAGATGCATCCCCGCTTCCAGTGTGGACGAAACAAGGACCCTATGTTGCGAAATTGATTGATTATCACTATCGAAGTGGCTATGATATCTTATATATAAATCTAAAGCTGAAGATATCTTAGCTATCTTTTCTATAACCTATCTATCTGTAGATTTACTTACTGAGATAGAATTATGACACATTTTGTGTGGAGCTTGTGTATTAAATTGCCGTAAATGAAAAAATGAGGAAACGAAACAAAAAAAAAATACACATTATACGCAAACAAATGAATAAAGCTGAAGAGTTTATTAGTTTGTTTCAACGCGCTAATCTCAGGAACGGTCTAATTTGAAAAATAGTTTTATTGTTGGATAGTGCATTTATCGAGGAAGGCTATAAATTTAAAACATCACGCTGCAATCAATAGGAGCCGAGCAGAGCGGGTGAAATGGCGCGCATGTAGCTAGTAGTCTATTTGTTTATTTATTGATCTCAGTTAACTATTCTATTACTATTTTTTTAAAACAAGATTCTTAGTAGT